GTGTGTGTGTGTGTCTGCGTGTGTGTGTGTGTCTGCGTGTGTGTGTGTGTGTGTGTGTGTGTGTTGCCTGTGCTCCCTCCTCCCCTCTTGCTCGTGCCCCACAATCAAACGTGTGTGCTGCCCTCATACACACCCAGGGATGAGCTTCCAGGGCCACCTCCTGCCTGGCCCTGTGGCTGCTGCTCTAGGGAGGGAGGGCGACGTGGGCAGCACTCGCCGGCGGGGCCTCCGTGAGGCAGGAGGCACCTCCATTGCCATCGCTCCTCCTGGCTCCCCTGATCCCAGGGACGCAGCCCCTGTCCTCAGACCCCTTTGGAAGGTTTTGTCCAATAGTCGTCAGCACACTGAGGTCTTGAGAGTCAAAGACTATGTGTGAATCGTCTCTCTGCAAACTGATTTGGGGCCCATCAGCCTAGAATTCCGGAGCCGCCCTCTGCTGGCTGTGGGGACAGTGGGTCCTGTGCACAGGCTCTGGCAGATTCAGCTCCTCTGCTGGGCTGAGTGGCCCAGAGGGGCCGTCCACCTACCGTTTCCGACTGTCCGTAGACCTGGTGGACCAGAAGGCCTGTCCGTTGTCTCCACTTCTCTTGCTCTTCGGGCAGCACGGCCTCCCCGCCAGCAGAGCAATGCTCCAGAGTGGGGAACCTGAGGTTTGGGGGAGACAAGGTGTCCACAGAGCTTCAGAGCAGGTCCTGGACGCTCCTACCCAGGCCCAGGAGTTAGGAGTCCATCCACCTTTCTGCTTCCTCACTTTCTTACTTGCCTCCCGGGTGTACGTCATTCACTTCCTGTCCATCAGTCCCTGTGAACTGTTCTTCAGGGGGTGGTGGTGGTCGTGATAAAGCTATGGATTCAGTTAGGGATCCAACTAAATTAGGACATTGAAACCTCGTCTGAGGGAAGCTTCTATGTGGAAAGAGTGATGTTTTATAACCCATGAGGGGGTAAAGGCTAGGACTCTGGGGACAAGCTGGGGGTTATTGGACTGCTCTTCCTCCCTTGGGGGAGATGGGTTATGTGAACTGACGGGCTTTTGAGTTCCCGAGGGGAGAATGCAAGTTAGGGATTGTCAATCAATTGCTCT